AAACAATAGAGGTCAATGAGAATATGTGTTCATAACAAATGAAAATAAATAATTAAATTGTGTTCATGCCGGTCTCAAACCCTGGTCACCTGCTCTCTGGTCCAACACTCTACCCATTGCCCTGTTGGAGGCTTGTTGTGAAATGAGCTGGGCATTGCACAACAACACCGTGATGGTTTTTTATACTGAGGAGGAGGAGTCTCACCCGGGGGTTGCTAGGTAAGGGGCTGAACGCAGGTTCAGGTGGGTTGTCGTACAGCTTGTGACATCACAAAATGACAGAAGTATAAAACGTGTCGTTAATATACATTAGAAATACATTTACTTACAGTAAATATGCCCCTGGGTGCATTTTTTTTGTTCCTAGGACTGTTTTTTTTAAGAAGTACATACCCAAAGTTGAGTTAAAAAAAACCTTTGCATAATAGGTCCCATTTTAATATATAGCTAAATTTTATGTTTTGTTGCATGCTGGTACAGAGGGAAAAAAACTTTGGGCTGGCCCGCAACATGGGAATTTGAGTAGCAAACACAATACAAATGCTTCAGGTTCTGCCAGCACCCTCCTGTCCTGAATGATCCCTAGACAGATGGGACAAATCTCGTTCTGATCTRTCTTATGAAACATGAAGCCAGACACTTGAGGACAGAGGCGAACAAAATGAACCTGTAGTGACAGAAACTTTTCAAAAAGTATAAAATGGAATTGTTTCACTCTACTCTGAGACGGCACCTGACCATTAAAATTTTTTGTTTTTTTCGTTTACTATTCACATCACGCTTAAACCAGGAATAGACCCACATTTGTTCTAATATAGAAGAAAAACTACAAGAGATAAAAGGAAAAGGTTAATTTTCTTAGTTTAAGGAGGCACCAGGGGTGAAAGTAAGCCTGTACGGTCTGATTCTGTGTACCACTAAAAGCTGAAGGCTAGTCCGTCCAAATTCACATCTACTTTCATCCTGTCTTCATGGTTGACAAAGGACCTGGGTCAGCCGGGTCCTTTGAAGGACACAGTCTCTGAATTTGGACACAGCAAACGTGTTGTTTGGTTTTATGATGTACCACACTGAGCATGGACCACAGTATGGAATATCCTGAGTTGTTTCAGGGGCTTAGAAAGAAAATTAAGCAGTATGTTAAGGCTGGAAGACTATCTCCATCAAAATAAACAAATAGTACAGATTAAACTAGGTTTGAGTTTTTCCACTGATGGGTCATTGTTTTGTTTTTTTCTGTATGTACTGTATATCCCAGCAGTTTAAAATCTTTTCGCAGATGCAGTCTTCTTGATTACCGTACACTACATGTGTATGCATGCCAGAAACCGTTTGAAGCTAACTACATTAACTTACAGAGCTGAACTTCATGTTGTCAATGTTTGTGTCTGAGGAGTAACTTTTTTTATGTTTCAGTTCCCATGACTTGCACTGTGCTGTAGCTGCAGGCCTTTCAGCTTGTGTAATAGATCTGTGTATTCACTGCACTGACTTTTACRAACAACAGATTTTTATATAACACAGATGAACAACAGTTAAAGAAAAAAAATTAGCTTTTTAAATGATCATAATATAACAATAAAAGTAAGAATTACCCCCCAAAAGAAAATAATTGAGGTTCACATCAGAAATGTAAATCTTTGAATCGACTGACATGAAAACCTAATCAATATTCCTCAACAAAAAACAAATAAAAAATGAAAGGGCCTAGCATTCCTTGAACGAATGTATTGCCTGTTACCTTTTAATACCAGAGTTTTAGACTAAGATTATCTTATGATGAGAAATGGAGAATGTTAGGGAAATAAAATAATAGTTGTTGCCATTGTCACCTAACCTTAAATAGTTGTGATCTCATACCGTGGTTGGTTTAAACAAAAGGATTCATCAATTGATTTTTTTGGGAATTTGGTATCGATTCATGAAATCCTCTGATTCAGTTCAATCCCCTGGCCTGTTTGTCATGGTTTTTATGTTTGCACTTCTTAGAACAAGTGTTATTGTGGTACTGCTTTATTTTCAGATATTTTATTTCTCAAAAATGTAAATGTAGTAGTAGTAGTAGTCAGAGACTAGTAGTAGATCAGGACTCTACCACAGAGCAGACAGTGTCCCTACAAACCCAGGAGCCAGGGAGAAAGAGAAATCACACACACGACAGGCCCTGGAGCAGTGTGGTTATC